TGTGTTTACGCATACACTTGGGCACTATAATCCTGTCCTGCGCAAATGGCTAGTTTCCTTTAAGACTGGCTGCCGTTACCAAAATTGAGTCTGAAGGACATTACTATTATCAGCAAAGCAGCACTAGCACAGTCCTCAGTAGTGACGTCGTATTATGACCTTAAAATTTTTGGATGCATTTTCGACACAACAGCCACAAGGCAACAGGTGGTTAACACATTTTTTTCTGTAATCACTTAATTACAAAAAATCTACTATCTATTTGACTTCAGAATTTTGAAGGAAGAGATGTCCAAAATGCCGTTACCAAGATTTTACCCCCGGAGAGTCTTAGGCAATGCGTACAACTATATCAGCATAATGCTGGCCAGATTAAACAGGTGGTTACTTGTAATGCATCAAGTCACACAACCGTGTCATTTACTTAATACAAATTTTACTTAATCATTATGGCCCCATACAAATATTTTACAATGACAGCCTCGTACCGGAGACTTATGTTGGACTTATGATGGAATCACTATCTTAGAAATCTTTGTTTTTTTAATTAATAATAATTTACTCGTTTATAACGAAAAATCATATCGTTCCACAGATGTCGTAAGAGGCGACAGAGGGAAACGAACCAAGAGATGGGCAGTAGTCCCTAATAAATAACAAAATTTAAAAAATCTGCTGTTGTCACCACGCAAGCCAAGCATGGCAGCTATGGCAAATATCCCCCTTATGATGTAATCTATGGAAGAGGCCTATGTTCAACAGTGGACTTTTGATAGGCTGCAACGGTAGCGGATATATAGAAACACATTCAATTGTATTAAGTTTATATTTTCCGTTACAATAAAATTTCTTAAAGACGAATAAACCAACTCATACCCATTGAATTCTCAATAATAGTGAGACGAAAAGAACGAAAGGTAAAGGCTTACTGAATAAAATAATTGTGATATTATGCGCTGAATTACATCGTCCTCGTTATAAAGAAAAATATTATAAGGAATTCCCAGAGAAATAAACTATAATTCTAAAGTCGTGTGCAAATCTGCAATAATAGATTTTCTTTACCCTCTCAATAATGTGACCAGCAGTGGGACTTTTATAGACAGTTAATTTAATCTATACATAAGTTATGTAGTTACTAATAATTTGCCAGCATCAGTGTTTCCATTCATGTACAAAGTGGGTGTCTTCTAGGCAAGAGGAACTAGGCTTTTTTAATGTTAATAATTTACTGGCTTCATAGCTACATAAGTTTTTTTTTTGGAAAAAAAAAACGCTTGTTGTTATATTACAACATTATGGTAATACGAAGCAAGATGCCATAAAATTAAGTTATCAACATCTGTGAGGAGCAATGAGGCAGCTGGCAACAATTTATTATTCAATGAAATTGCAAGAGAAAACGATCCAACGACCGGTTCTTAAATAAATGTAAGAACTGAAATAAATGGAAATAAATTCAGAAGACAACGTATTAAATTCAGTATGTTTCGTCTTGTAGACATGTGCCTTATTTCCATTTATTCTTCTAAGGTTTTTTTCGAAACAGCATTCAATTAAAAAAATAGACAAATAATACAACGTAATTACGTTACCCACTTCCAACACCAATAATTTCTGAAAGTCTTATATAGCAATGAGTCCACCGCACTGGTCCATTGAGTGTTGGCGTTTACGTCATCGAAACATTTCATTTCTTAAATATGCATGTTTCCTCACAAAGTTTTTCTTCGCAGCAGAGCACGTGGTACTTAAATTAGGTAGCTTTAGCTGTACCGGAGCTCTTATAAGGTCATTATCATCATTACAGTCCTTCACAAGTGCCCTGCTGAACATAAGCATCTCCACAAGGAATGCCACAAAGCAAGGTTCTGAGCAACCTGCATTCATCGTCTTCCTACGTCCTTTCCCAGGACGTCACTCCATCCAGCGTGTAGCAACCCTACACTTCGCCTACCGCTACGAGGATACCACTCGAGAACCTTTCTTTTCCCCACCGGTGGTCGGTTTTTCAAGTTATATAGTTATAGCTTATACAGTTCATAAGCAAATAATTAAAGTAGTTCATTTAAATATCTACTGATCTACCGGCTCATCGTCATGCTCTAAGGATGATGATAATGATGACGATACTGAAAACTCTACTGCTGAATATAGGCCTCCCCCAAGGCTAACTAGCATTTTATTGGTGAACAGAAATAACAAATTGTAGGGTTTAATTGTGTATTACATTTTCAGCCAAAGATACCTGCGAAGCGAGGTGATTTAACCGATAACTGTTTACAGGTGATGAAAAAGACTAAGGGAATCGAAATTGCAATGTATACGGTTAATAATATTTGTTTTATAGGATAAGGGTGAAAAACGAGCACACAGTCCACCTACCAACCTACCAACCACAGTAAGTGGTTGCTCCGGCCCATAGACATCTACATCTATCCTCTGTTACAGATCAAAATGCAGATGCGTTTTCACCCGTGAGGACTAGGATGGAATGCCTCATTTCCCGTAAAAAGGGCCTCCGGCCACCTGCACCACCAAGCGAAACGCAGAGGTAAACCTCTACTTCACGCTGCTATTCTGTGAGGTCGTGGTACCACCCCGGTTCGAGCCGGCCCATCCGTGCGACAGCAAAAGCTGCCGCCTGGCTCTACCACTGTTAAAACTATTTATAATGAGCTAGCCTGGCAGACGTTGTTTTGCCCTTTCCAGTTAGTGACGCTATAAGTTTCAAGTGTTAAGATTAGAGTAAACATAAAATTTATTCATAACTTGGCCGTAGCGCAACCTTTCGTAGTTATGATGAAGATATGTTCTTTTTTGGCACTAATATATTATGTATATGAGTCGTTTTGATGCAAAAATATAAAATTTGTTGATAGATTCTCTAAACTACCACCTATCGGATCCTATCATAAAATATGAACCATTGCCTCAACTCTCAACGTAAAATCTAGTGTGTATATATATCCTCAATTATTCAAAACATTTAGAAGTAAAATGATCATTAATGTATGCACCAAATATTTCTACTGCCTCCTCTACACAGCTCGCGCAGTAACATCGAAGAAGTTCTCGTCGAAGTCGATCGTAGGCCGAAGAACGTGACTACACACTCGTGCTAGTTCGCGAAGAGCTCAGTCATCTTGAGTCTCCCGCACCCTTAACATGAACAACGTTCAAGAGGCAACTGCTATAGGTACCTAATTGTGTGAACAGTACGACGTCAATGCGTTAACTAAATAAATAAATGTGTAGAAAGCTACATATTTAATATTTATATATAAAAAAAAAATATTCATAAATGGCGTACACCGAGTAGAGTGAGACGCTTCGTGTAACTTCGAGGTACTTCGCGAAGTCCTTTCTCCTTTGACTCTGGCACAAAAAAACGAAAACGATCGGAAGTCGCCCGAGGCGAAGCGAGGTTGGACGAAGCGAATCAAAGTATCTTTCTACACTGTTCGCCTCGTCCAACTTCGATCTACTTCGCGAGTAGTGTTGAGGAAGCCTACAATTGGAACGAAGTTCTTTATCGCACGGTGCGAATTTGGCGGATGGGAGCTAGGCGAGAAAAAGTGTGTTCTATAGTGCGAGGGAGATGGAATATAATCCAACTCCCTCGCACTTTTCCTTATTTTGCCATAACAGAAATATTATTTTGAATAACGCTTCATTTTAATAGACACTAGCAATTCATTTATCTGTATTTGTTAAACAATAATATAATACCTTTATCAATAATAATATGCTACGAAGGAACTTACTTCCAACCGAGTGTTCTACGTCACTCACGCATGTTTTTTGGTTAATATAAGGTTGTGAGGGCTGGTTAAAATTATACCGGCCGAAGTGACCAAAAAATGGTTCTAACCCGGGCGAAGGGCCAAAAATGGTTTCTTAATTTAAATTATTAACTCGGTTCAGATTTATTACAAGGCTGATTATGTGAAAATTAATGGACTGTAGGGTGCGGTGCGAATTTACTCTTTCGCGATACTGCAAATATCTAAATTCGGGCTAATCGCGAAATATAGCGTTATTGTAAATTTTATAACGTTATTGTTTAATATCTAAACGACACAAAGCCGGGTGCGATTCCACGAGATAGAAGCGATGCCGTTGGTTTCGTGTCTTCTGAACTTATGTGAACCCCGTTAACACCAGAGTGCACATGCTGAAGGCACAAAAGGCGGTAGATAGGAAACCCGAAAATGGGATTTTTGCAGTACACTCTCTTATTGAATAATAATTAACGAATCACATACGTGTTAGGCAGTATTGCCAAAGTGGCGCGAACAGGGCATTCCAACAATAGACTCTACCAACGCTTTATTCCTTGTTTAAAGTTAGAAGAAAAAATATGAAATTACTATTAGATGAAAGCATAACTCGTTTGTCAATGTATTGGTATGAAAATGAAGGTGATGACTCCTTACATTACTTAAAGTAAACAAACTTTATTAAATGTTTATTTTAAGACACTCTCCTAATGTCCATCATTGTTTTAAATGTAAAGAACAAAATATTTCCTTAAGAAAAACATTTCGTAAAACATTACATTTAAAAGGGAGAACAGAACACGGTGGCTTAAATTTAAGGACAAATTATAATGGGTGTTTTTTTAGAGGTATAGAACTTTGAAATGGAATAAAACAAACATGATTTTTTTTATTGACATGAAATTTACTTTATTCGAAAGACAATCTTCTGGTATTATAATTTAAATATGACTTCTGGCCATATGCCACGGCTGGCTCGGACGTAGTCTAATCTGGAGGTCCAATTTTCGATTACTTTTTCCAACATTTTTGGCCGTATATCGGCAATAACGCGCCGAATGTTGTCCTCCAAGTGGTCAATCGTTTCGGGCTTATCGGCGTAGACATGCGACTTCACATATCCCCACAGAAAATAGTCAAACAGCGTTAAATCGCACGATCTTCGAGGCCAATTCACGGGTCCGAAACATAAAAATATGCGGTTACAAAACGTTTCCTTCAATAAATCAATTGTAGCACGAGCTGTGTGACATGTTGCGCCATCTTGTTGAAACCACAACTTCTGCACATCATGGTTGTTCAATTGATGAACGAAAAAGTCAGTAATCATCGTTCTATAGCGGTCACCATTGACTGTACCGTTCTGGCCAGCATCGTTTTTAAAGAAGTACGGACCAATTATTCCACCAGCCCATAAAGCACACCACACAGTCAGTTTTTCTGGATGTAACGGTGTCTCAACATACACTTGAGGATTATCATCACTCCAAATACGAAAGTTTTGTTTATTGACATATCCATTCAAACAAAAGTGAGCTTCATCGCTAAACAAAATTCGCTTATGAAAATTGGGATCGTCGGCAATCTTATTTTGGGCCCATTCACCGAATCTACGCCTTGCTAAGTGATCGCGAGGCTTTAATTCTTGCACGAGTTGGATTTTGCAAGCACGCAAACCAAGATCTTTCCGCAAAATCTTCCATAAAGTGGATGGACACATATCCAATTCCTGTGCACGATGGCGGATAGACTGATTCGGGTCTTCCTCTACGCTACGCTCTACAGCAGCAATGACTTCTTCTGTACGCACTGTACGACATCTCTGTGGATGCGTATTATCATTTAGAGTAAACGTGGCGCGCAAATGTCCCATAGTTAATCGAATTAATTGCTCTGATGGACGATTATGTTGACCGTAAAATGGACGTAATGCGCGATACGTATTTCGAACAGAACCATGATTTTCAAAATAAATTTGCACAATTTGGAAGCGTTGTTCAGGCGTCAGTCTATTCATGTTGAAATGCCAAACCAAACTAAACATAAATCACTTGACAGCTGACAAAATGGCCGCCAGTTAAAAAAGTGTTGCCAACTTAAAGTTCTATACCTCTAAAAAAACACACTTTACTATAACACAAAATATTTTAACATTTGTAAAACATGGTTTAAAATGTAAAGAACTTAATTCGTAAACGTTAAGGGGGTATCATATAATTTTTAATGGTTTAAATTAAGCCTATGCTATCTCAAAAATACAAACATTTTAATGTTTATACGCATTATTTTAAATTACTTAAAGCATATAGTTAAAACTATCATCATTACATCCCGTCATTAGACCACTGCTGAGAATGAGCTTCCCTATAAGAATACCACAAAACAAGGTCCTGAGCAACCATCAACTTCGTGCATATTTTAACAGGTTGTCGATCCATCTGGTAGAAAACCTTACACTTCGCTTATTAGGATGTGGCTGCCACCCAAGTATCCATCTTCCCCATCAGAGATCAATTCTTCAAGCTATATGGTTGGCTATTTCCACCTCGGCTTAGTGATCCACCGGTAACTTCTACTGCAGATATTATCATCGTTACAGACTTTATCACGTAGAGAAGGTCCTAGTTAACAATCTCCATGGATTGTTGAGCAACTGCAAGCATTCTATATGGCCAGCGATGCCACGTCTCAGAACCGTATGTCATCTGACAATACGCACTAGTTGTATTCTCTCGATTTTTGGTTTTGAGGATTGTGTGACGAGGTGTGTCTTACATTTTGAGATCATTCATAGAAACTCATATACAACTATTCATTAAATCCATTTGAAAAGTATGCGGTTGTCTAATATTAAAATATATTTCGGAATAAAATACTCACTGAACAAACAAATACAAGTACACTACAATTCTATAGAAGTATGCTTCGAGTCAATTGTTGGTTTATTTTGTCAAAAGATCTTATGTTTAATTATCATTGTGTTTGCTTTATTTCTATTTAGCTTGACTTGAAACTATCCACTCACAAAGTTATATTCGTTTTTTATCCTATTATTAATTCAACGCATTTATGACTGTTAGCCAAAGCATTGATGACATGCACAAGACCAGGATTCATAATAAAGACTACCGTAGTGCTGAAAGTGCTAAACAGCAGCGCTAATACCTCGGCTAAATGATTTTCATTTGTCTACACTAGTCCAGAAAAAATGTTCTTTTCTTTCTTTTTTTTTTTTAAGTTAAACGTTTTAGCATTTGTTGTGTTAGATACTTAAAATAATTTTGTATTTTTTGCGACGACACCTTAAAATTGTGAATTGCAGAACCGGTATATCAAATTGAGCTACCCGAAAGTGAAACAAACAATCGATAACAATAAAATAACGTTTTCCTTAGTTTCATCATATAAAACTATTTCCTTACTATGCTGGTTTTTGGCGCGCTTTAATTCTATGAACGATAAACTTTTCTGCAAAAACATCAATACATTTTTGCTCAGTATTTTTTATTTTTATAGAGTTACAACCCCAGATCAACTGATGATAAGTATAATTAATAATAATAATAAACGCCTTATGGAATTGCTAAACATCACTTGTGATTTTAGCAATTATATTAGAATGGAGCTGGGGACGGATAAGTGTGCGGTCCTCCATGTTGAAAGGGGAAGGGTTGCTAACTCTGAGGGCATAGACTTATCTATGCCCATCAACATAAGGACCCTTTCCGAGGCTGAAACATACCGATACCTGGGTATGTCACAGAACATCGGTGTCGATGAGGCGGGTATGAAACAGTCAGTTTGGCATGTGTTTTATGCACGCTTGACCAAAGTGCTTAACAGCCTTTTGTCCGGTGTGAATAAGACGCACGCATATACCGGTGGGTATCATGCCTGTTCTCATGTATACCTTTGGCATGCTCAGGTGGACTCAGACCGAACTGAACGCTCTGGACAGAAAAGTCCGCACTATAATGACGTCCCACAGGATGCATCATCCGAAGCATGGTGGGCGCGGCTTTTTAAGCACGCTTACCATGCATAATCGCGAAGTGTGCAGCCTCCGTAATTATTTTCTGACGAGAGCAGATGATCCATACTATAGGGGCGTTATTTCTTTTGATAAAGGACTTACCCCTCTATCCTTAGCCAACAAGTAATGGCAGTACAGAACATTTCCGACCGGGGGACCGTATGGAAGGAGAAGGAGCTTCACGGGAGGTTCTACAAGGCTCTACATGAGCCTTTCGTAGACACAGACGCCTCCCTCCACTGGCTACGTTTCGATGACCTCTTTGGGGAAACCGAGGGTTTTGTCTGTGCGATACAGGATCAGGTTATTAAGACTAACAACTATCGGAGATACATCCTAAGGGATGGCACCATCGACGTCTGTCGAGCTTGTCACCATCCCGGTGAGTCACTTAGGCATGTCATTTCCGGTTGTTCGGCGCTTTCTAACGTTGAGTATTTGCACATGCACAACTTAGTAGCTAGGATTCTGCACCAGGAGCTCGCTCTGAAATACGGTCTCGTGGATCGGAAACTGCCGTATTATAAGTACTTGCCGGAAGCCGTGCTCGAAAATGACCGCGCCTGGCTCTACTGGGACCGGGCCATCATCACAGACAGGACTATTCTTACGAATAAGCCTGATATTGTGCTGATGGACCGGGCACAGTCAAGGATATTTTTGGTCGACATTACCATTCCTTATGACGAGAACCTCGTGAAAGCCAAAACAGATAAGCTGACAAAATATCTGGACCTGGCTCACGAGGTGGCCGACATGTGGGGTGGATTGCCGGCCGAAATTATACCTGTAGTCGTCTCTAAGAATGGGTTAATTCCAGTCAGCCTCTCGGGTCATCTGAGGCGACTGGGACTCCGTGACGGACCGCTCCAAGCTCAAATGCAAAAGACGGTGCTCCTCGATACCGCCCGTATCATCCGCCGGTTTCTTTCCCTTTCCCCCTAACCCTCGGCCGATTGGTCTCCTCTGCCGAGGGCTTCCATCTAGTTGGGTTTTTATATATTTATGTATTTTTTATGTATTTATTTTATTTTATTGATATTTATTTACGTTTTCCGTGTTTATTTACAATTATATATTTATATTGCCCAACCAGATGAGAAAACTTTATAGATACCCCATAATAATAATGATAATAAGGGTCCCTCCACTGGCTACGTTTTGGTGACCTCTTCGGGGAAACCGAGGGTTTTGTTTGTGCAATACAGGATCAGGTTATTAAGACTAACAACTATCGGAGATACATCCTAAGGGATGGCAACATCGACGTCTGTCGAGCTTGTCACCATCCCGGTGAGTCACTTAGGCATGTCATTTCCGGTTGTTCGGCGCTTTCTAACGCTGAGTATTTGCACAGGCACAACTTAGTAGCTAGGATTCTGCACCAGGAGCTCGCTCTGAAATACGGTCTCGTGGATCGGAAACTGCCGTATTATAAGTACTTGCCAGAAGCCGTGCTCGAAAATGACCGCGCCAGGCTCTACTGGGACCGGGCCATCATCACAGACAGGACTATTCTTGCGAATAAGCCTGATTATGTGCTGATCGACCGGGCACAGTCAAGGATACTTTTGGACGAAATTACCATTCCTTATGATGAGAACCTCGTGAAAGCCGAAACAGATAAGCACATAAAATATCTGTACCTTGCTCACGAGGTGACCGCCATGTGGGGTTGGTCTGCCGACCGAAATTATTTCTGTGGTCGTTTGTGCGTTCAGCCGGTCAGCCTCTCATGTCATCTGAGGGGCCTGGGACTTCGTAACGGACCGCTCCGGAATCAAATGCAGAAGGCGATGCTACTCGATACCGTCCGCATCGTCCGCCGGTTTCTTTCCCTTTCACCCTAACCCTCGGCCGTTTGGTCTGCCCTGCCGAGGGCTTCCATCTGGTTGGGTTTTTATTTAATTATTTATGTATTTATTTTATTTTATTGATATGTATGTATGTCTATATATACCGCGTGTTAGTGAAACGCTCCCGAAAATGAAGAGAGATGATAGTACTAAGGATAACTTCAATGATGGGTCACAAATAAATTCGATCCCGAGGAAAAAAATCATCTTTTCACAACGTTTTATTACCTTTATTCAGAATCCATCATATTAGTACAGCTAAATAAAACGATAAATTCATTTAAAAAATCATAAAAATACTTAATAATAAAACCAGCAGTGGAATTACAATCTGACTAGAGGTCAATGTACGCGCGGAAGCCGAATTCGCGGGGCCCTCTGCTAGTGATGGTACCACAATGCCTAATAATTTACAACACTTGTCAAAATACCTAAGTTATCAACTTAACCTACTTTTTTGCCCTTGTGTTGTCTTCACCTAGCCACTTTATTCACAGGGTAAATAAACCAAATACCTGGTTCATTTCCCCGCTAATAAAAAAGCTTACTTAAATGAAATGTTAACAAGATTAGTGTCATGCTTTTTTATCCATCGTGTAGGTATGTTTATTATTCTAATGTATTCAGTTATGTACCTATTCAGATGAGTTCAGTACTAAGTTATGTAAAAAAATTAGATGTATCTATTAAAAAAGAAAATTTTGTTTAGTTATAATTTTATGATAAATTCAAGGATAAAAATTCATAAGACACGTAAAGATGGATTTCAATAATTAATTAAACAAAAAAGTACAAAGTTTTATCGAGTCTTAAATTAAAAATATATACTCGTATTTATATTATATCAAACCAAATGTACAGTTTTACACGAAATGTCTTATAAAATACTTATTATTTTGGTTTATAACATTAAAAATCCCCTAGAGTATTAAAACAATTTTGGATTAGCTTTAGTTTTAGTTTTTTTTGAAAAGTTCTCGAATT